GTCATTTTTTCTTAGGGGATACGGAGACAAAGTTGTTCTGGGGCAAGTGCACAGATAGCTATTCTCAGGGATACTATTTAAAAACTAGCCATTACTAAATTTTAGCCTGAAATTTTGAACTTAAAAATTAAAATTCAATACATGCACTAGCTAATTCTTAAATAGCACCCCTTTAAAATAGAGAAATTCAAAAATAGCCAGATTTACAAGTGATTATTCAAAAATAGTCACAGTATAATATACTGGAGCCAGCAAAGTATACCGGTCCAGCATAATATGCTGGAAGTTCATACACAGGTGCATCGAACTCCAGTATATTATGCTGGACCGGTCTCTGTTGTAGCAAAATAGTGACTATTTTCCAATAATTTCGCAAACGCTGGCTATTTTTGAATGACCAATCCTAAAATTGGCTTACCCGTGCTATTTTAACCTTTAAAATGGCTACGTGTTGTCATTTATACAGTTGTTCTGGGCTTTCGATGAACTAGACCAAAGCAAATGATCCAGCCGACATAACTGTTCTTCGTGTAAAAATTGCACGGGGCGCCCTATTTGGGCGCCCCTTTTTAACCTGTAGCCGCTTTGTCTTTTTGTTTGCATCCGTACCCACTTTTTAAAAAACTTCAGCTTCCCTTTAAAACTGAGAAACTTCAGCTCTAGAGCTGAAGTTTCCGGGTTACTAAACAAAAACTTCAGCTCTAGAGCTGAAGTTTTTATTTTATAACTGGCAAACTTCAGCTCTAAAGCTGAAGTTTTTATTTTATAACTTGAAAACTTCAGCTCTAGAGCTGAAGTTTTCGGGTTACCAAACAAAAACTTCAGCTCTCGAGCTGAAGTTTTTATTTTTTAACTGGAAAACTTCAGCTCCTCTAGAGCTGAAGTNTTTTAACGTACGAAAACTTCACGCTCTACTAGAGCTAGTGAAGTTTTTATTTTATAACTTGAAAACTTCAGCTCTAGAGCTGAAGTTTTTATTTTATAACTTGAAAACTTTAGCTCTAGAGCTGAAGTTTCCGGGTTGCTAAACAAAAATTTCAGCTCTAAAGCTGAAGTTTTAATTTTATAACTGGCAAACTTCAGCTCTAGAGCTGAAGTTTCCCGGTTACTAAACAAAAACTTATAAAATAAAGAGCTGAAGTTCGCGAGTTAAAAAAAAAACTTCAGCTCTAGAGCTGAATTTCAGGCCCGGCTACTAAAATATTGAAGTTTTGTGTAATTGCCTTTGCTACTTCAGCCCCGTGTGCTGAAGTTATGTGAAAAAGCGGGTACGCTTGCAATTTTTTTTGCAAAGCGGGCACAGATTGAAATGTGGCACAAAAAGCGAGTATAGATGCAAATGCCCGTTCTTCGTCTTTGGTAACTTTAAGATCATATGTTTTGTAACGATTTTGTTAATATATTTTGAAAGTGAAATAGTATTATTAGTTATTATAATATTAAACTATTTTCTTATATTTCTGTAAAAGTCCCTTTAAAAGGACCACCAAATGTGTGGCAACAACTAACACAAATATAAAAAACAAGATAAATATAGATTGAAGTTAACGTCTGTCACACCCTTTTTAACGTCCCGCAAGATAATGTTGTGTGGATTGTATTGTTGTGGGTTAAAGGGTTTTTCCAACTAAAGTGATAAATTTGAGTAGGGATTATTTTATTTATTGAATCATTGTTTGAAATTATTTTTTGATTGTTCCAAGTCACCATTTATTCGAATTCCTATTCAAAGGAAGATTTGACTCTTTTGTTATTGGTCTGCGAAAATAAAGTTCGGGTAAAAAAATTATTCATCGGGGAGAAGGTGTAACGCATTCTCCGAATTTCGTGGTTATAGCACGGTCGCTCTTATTGACTACAATTGGCTTGAATTAATTTGGATAAACTATTATTTACATTAAACTATTTTTGCCCATTGTCGCTTAATAATTAACCGAAGTTTATTATCTTTGGCCTCGGAGCGTATAAGCACACAAGGTCTTTATTTAATTACAGGTACTAAACGTGTCAGTACACATGGTTTAACTACAATTGATTACCGAAGATCATAATTTATTATCAAAAGTCAAGGAGCGAGAATGCACACGTGACCATTTTATTAATTAAATGTTGACCATGAATCTTGTATGAACACATGGTCTACCGATGATAGGCTATAATTGCATATTTTAGTCGCTTATTACACTCGAATTTACTGTACTTTAATTGAGTTTGCGCTTTAATCGCTAGTGTTTTGCACTAATTGTGTGTTTTATGCCTTGTAGGTGTGATTCCGAGTTATATAGATGTTATGGAATGAATTTAAGTGATTTGAAGCTTTGAAGTCTGAGTAAAAGCTCAAGGAATTAAGCCGAGATCGTGTTCGGGGTTCAAATTTGATAATTAAGTACGAACGAAGACTTGAGGAGGCATATTGCGTACTGTCTAGTAAAATAGACATACCTTTTTGCTCAGAACTCCATTTGGGCTCCACAATATATGGTTGGAAAGCTAACTTAAAGGGCTACAACATTCAGGTTTTACGTTTTTCCAAATTCCAAACGGAACAGGGTGAAAAACCGCGGTTCCACCGCAATCGCGGCAGAACCGCGGTAGAAGATGGTCGCGGACAACTGAAGAATCAGAGGGCATGTTTGGCCGCGGTTCCACCGCGACCGTGGCAAAACCGCGGCAGGAGGCGGAAATTTCAGGGACTTATATGCAAAACACGGGATTTTAAGCCCTAAACCCTATATTAAACCAAGGAAGCCGGCCAAGAAAAGAGACGGGACATATTTTGGACACAAATTAGACCTAAGGAGGCGGAGAGACACTACTTGGGGGGTTAGACAACACCCTTGGAGGCAAGAACACATTGGGAGCAAGGCGGAGAATTCTTCTACGAGTTTTTTCCTTCCTCTTCCTATTTTTCATTGTTGGTTATGACTTTTAGTATTGTAGTTTTACATACTATTATGAATAGCTAATTTGTTATCTAGAGTTTTGATAGAACCTTTTGTAGGATAAATTCTTGTTATGTTTTTATATAATTGAGCCATAGCTTTTCTCTATTTGTTCAACTACGTCTATATTGTGGTTGGTTGAAGAGCTCTCAATTAGCTGTGCCTATTTAGTATGCATAACTCGGGAGAGAGTGCATATTTATGTAATTGTTGAACAACACCACTCCCAGTGTATATGAGGGATCAATAACCGAGGGTTTAAAGGTGGGATTAGGGATAACGAAGCCTTGGGTGCGATCTGAAGTGAGCTGTATTAAAAGCCAGCTAGCGTAGCTCGGGAGAGTGCGTCTAGTAAATTGTCGTAATTACTCGGGAGAGATTTACGGCAATAAGAGTGCTCATGATCGGTAGAGAATACTTAGGCGAAATTATAGAAGACATAGCGGGAAGGATTCCGACAATAGGGGAAATCATAACTCTAGACCTCCTTAATCTTTTCTCTAACCCTCAGTATCGTTAGTTGTTAATTTACTATTTTAATTTATTAGTTAATTAGTTAAACACAAGAATCTTAATATCTATAAGTTAGGAATTGTTCAAGCTTGTCTTCTTGGTGATAGTGAACAGCTGTAGCTAAACCTTAGTTCTCTGTGGGATTCGACTCCGGACTTGTAAACCGGATTATATTTGCAACGACCGCATTGTCCTTTTTATAAGGCATAGTTGGGCGTGATCAGTGACTATCGCATTGCAGCGATCCCATTGCCTAGACCAATCTGCACTAAAATCACTCTTACTTGTTATACCATCGACAAGGCACAATTTGTTTTTCCCTAACAGCGCAATCTTTATCGCCCTACACCACAGTGTGTAGTTCTCCATTCTTGTTAGTAACAGCCCCACATTCATCGAACCAGGCCCATCGAAAGGGTGCAAATACAACGAATGACTGTGGTCGAGAACTACCGTACCGCCAGCTCCGCCACTAGAAGTGCCACTACTAATACTGCTCGAATTCTCCAGAATCGTCATGTTAAATGAAGAATTAGATGTAAAATGAATAGAATCTGTGTAATTTCAGTTCAATTCCTGCGAAAACTCCGAAATTAGGGTTCTAGAATATAAAAAAATTCGATTATCAGACAAAATTTGTGTAAACTCTCTCGATTTCCCTTTGAATTGCACGAGGAAATCCCTAGAATTGCACAGAGAATTGCTCTGATACTATGTCAAATGCAGTGAACAGACATGCAAAGAGAGAAGAGATCGTATGAGAAGGAAGAGAGAAATGGAGATTTGCAAAAGCTTTTCATTATAACAACCAACCGATACAAATGAGTGTTGTATTTCTTTTGTACTCCTCTAACCGACTAACTCTAACCCAACTCTAATTAACAACTAACTCTAGTTACATATGCTAAATTATGATTAAGTTAGCACATCCTTTACAGTAAGTCACTATGCTTAGAAGACAAATTGAATGAACTACTTCAGTGGCAGTGTAAGGTAACACATGAATATGGAATATTTGAGACATATTTGTTACCGTTATTATTAGGAATTTTCCCTTTTACCGGTATAAGGAAAAAACACAAAGATACCAAAATTAAGTGAAGTGTCACTTTTCAAAATTAAGGGATTCGGCAACAACAACAATAATAAATTCAGTGTAATCCCATAAATGAGGTCCGAGGAGAGTAGCGTATACATAAATCTTACCCCTATCTAAGATAATTTAAGGGTTCCTATTTAAAAACAATCCTTTATATTTGTGAATCAAATGACCGTGATGTCGCTCTAATTTTACCAAAAAGGAGTCTATCACTCTTCAAAACCTCAAAGGGTTAGTTGCTATTTTCCGCATCTTAGGAAGTCTAAGTGACATTTATACTTAACAATTGTTAAGTGATTTTTTTTTGTTACTTTATTTTTTAACTGCTATAATTGATTTGATGAAAATATTGGGTGCACAAATGTATTTACCATGTTTATATTAAGCCAAAAGAAAAGTCGCAAAATTTAAAAACTATTTATGTCACTTTCACTATATAAATTTTATGATAAAATAATTTTAAGAATAGAACAAAAATCCTCAAAATGGTATCTCCTGTAAACCTTTCTTATCTAGAAATTTTGTTTTTAAACCATTTTTCTGTTTTTTTCTCCAAAAACTTGTGAAAAGGGGCAGATTTAGTCCTTCACAATTCTGTATATTCTGGAACCTATCTTCATAAAATCTGCATAGTTCAGAGTCCATTCCCAAAAACCTTTACACAAAGAGCACTCATCCATGGCATTTGCTCACAACTTGCTAACCGTCCCAGCTGATACTTCAAATCCCCACTCCGCTACTTCGATTATTACCCGCCCCTTTTCATCTTCTTATAATTCTCTATCTTCTTTGAGTTTTTCTTATTCTCCCCTAAAATTTAACACTCGCAGGGTCTCTAATTTCCCCAAGAATTTGAGTCTCAGCCACAAAGGTAATAATACCCTTTACTCTGTTCTCCATATACATAAGACTACAGAGAAATTGGGTATTTCAGTAGATTGCTGAATTTGTTTTGTGGATAACGTTTAGTAATGTGGAAAGCGTTCAATTTGTTGATGGTGGTTATTGAGAAAAAATAATTTTATTAGTGGTTGTAAATTTGAAAACCTTTAACTGTTCAACAGCAAGTTTTTTCCTTTATCCAACTTCATTCTGCTTCCACTAAAGATGAATTTGGTTATGCTATGGCCAGTTAACTTAACTTCACTGCAAAAATTAACCATCAAACTATCGCTTTTATTGGGCATTTGGTATAAAAGGTCTCTCATATAGTTGAATGATTCAATTCATTACTATCTTTTTCCTAATTAGTTATCTTCATTTCTTGTTTTAAACAATGCACCTTCCCATGGGAAATTTTAGTACTTTCCATTTTTTATTTTAGTATAATGTTGGATCGAGATGAATTTAAATGAATAACATGGTCACTGAGGATTCATATTGCCGGCCTCAACTTGTTTGGGACCTTAGTGTAAGTTATAAAGTTATATGGAAGTTTTATTTTCCTAAAGATTTTCTGTTACTTTATGCAAGTTCTTGGCAGAGGACGTGTCCTATCAGAAGTGTTTGATCAACATATTAGCTACATAGAGAACAACAGCATCTTCATTTGTCATTTGATGTCTCATTTTCTGAGGATTATGAAAGAGTAATCCAATCTTACCACTGTGGAAGCATTTTCTTTCGGTCATTCAAAAATTTTGACTTGGTAAACTTATTGTTGCTCATTTCTGCAGCATCTGTTAAGGCCCAGGCATCTGAAGCCAGCTCAGCTGCAGATGCTTTCACCAACTTCAAGCATGTACTCCTACCAATTACAGACCGGAATCCTTATCTCTCTGAGGGCTCAAGACAGGTCCACTCTTCTCTGCATTTTTCCTTCTTAGTATCAGCACTTGAACGAACCAACCGTTGCTTCCTTTCTAGTCGTGCATTTTTTTTAAAGAATTAGTTTTATTCTCCAAGTGTCATATTTGAAGTATGGCACTTTTGAGGAAAGATTGCAATGTTCTCTGTAATTCTTTCATTGGTGAATTTTCATACACCGTAGCATTTGTGACAGAATTAGATTCCATATTAGCAGTCGTTAGCTGTACCTGAAGTCAAAAATTACATTTCACCTCTGGATGACAATGGGACGGGGGAAGCTTTAGATGTGAGGGTTGGAGTGACTCTTAGCGGAGAAAGCAATCGGGAAGGGGGGAGATCTAGAGCTCCTTTGGAAATTTATAGTGGGCATGGTAGGTTAAGCGAACCGAGGAAAAAGTTTATGAAAAAATTTAATGTTGGAAAAATAGAAGGCAACTTATCATAATGGGGAAGAAAGGTGTAGAAAGGGCAGGGTATAGTGGGTTGTAAGTGCAGAAGAAAATTAAATGGGTTGGGATGGTGGGGCTAGACTGTGGCGGAGATTGCTCCCTGCCGCAAACCTACTGCCACCATTTCCATCTTTATATGGAGTTAATCTCCAATTCAACCGTTTGAACTATTTGTATGGTACAACCACCGTTTGAGCTATTTGTATGGTACAACCACCGTTTGAACTATTTGTAAGGGCTTCAATAAAATGCTGGGCCTTTTAGTTCCTCTTCACTGTGGTTCTGAGGAAAGATATGTATTGGCTAATCCTGGAACACATTAAGCAGACTGCATCAGTTTCTTTTTGTCAAACTGCATTTTTTCCTTTTTCTTCCCCTTTCTTGGTTTGAACATGTTCACCTAGCTCATTCGATTTTGTAAGTGGCATGTATACTTTCTAAAAAACCTTATAGAAGTTACTTATTCTCGGTAATTTATCAGGCTGCAGCAACTGCCACTGCTTTGGCGAAGAAGTATGGAGCTGACATAACAGTTGTTGGTAGGTTTCTTGATGTCCCAGATGTTTTGTGCTATTGGTTCTTTCAAAAGCTAAATTACAGAGATAACTTTCTTGGTACAGAAACTTTTAGTCGTAGATTTCAAGGAATCTAGGTCTTTATGGTCTTTGCAGTTATTGATGAAAAGGAGAAAGAAGCAGTCCCGGAGCATGAGACCCAACTGGCGAGCATCCGGTGGCATTTATCTGAAGGTGTGTATTTACTGTTGTTGCCCTATATGTAAAGAGCATGAACCAGTTGATGTTTTGTGATTAAAAAGTGCAACTTGGACGGGTGCACTAGACTCGCATTGCTGTGCTTAGCAGCAACTGGCATTTTGCACGCAAGCCTGTGCATTTCGATTAGCACAAACTAATCTTGGGGAACTTCAGTATTTGGCTTGTATATTGGAAGGATTTTCCAATGTTGGTTATCTCATTATTCAGCTGTGGAGCTCCTTTTATGTTAGTCTGCAGTTATTTTTTTAGCCTTGGTTTTGATCATGCAGCACAAGCATCCGGATGGATAGGAAAGTTGAAACATGTTCTGGTTGCTTATATGTAGTATATACTGCAAAACTGTTATGGTCCACTTTTCATACTACTAACGACTGTGAACTCATTCCTTATCCTTAGTTTTACATGTGGGCTGGTATGGTTGCTGATTGGTGTACGCAAACATCTGCACAGGTGGATATCAGGAGTTCAAGCTGTTAGAACGGCTAGGTGAAGGAAGCAAGCCAACAGCCATTATTGGTGAAATTGCTGATGAGATGAACTTGGATGTGGTAATTATGAGTATGGAAGCTATCCATTCCAAGCATGTTGATGCAAACCTACTCGCTGAGTTCATCCCTTGTCCTGTATTGCTTTTGCCCCTATGAAGAAGAAATGTATCTGAAAAGCCAGTGGAGTTTGATTTTAGGATCAAGGGTATTAGCATTACCTCACTTGTAGTTTATTATTATCTTCATCGATATGATCTCCTACCTTTTGACCTTTTGATTACGTTTTCTGCTTCATTGACCATAAATGCAAGTTTTAGATTTGCGATGACTGGTAATAGAACGAAAAACAGAAGCTGGTTCATTGTATCTCAGTCGTAAGAAGACATGGATGTCGTCCACTTTAAGTGTTAGCCTTGCTCATCTTGATAGCTGCCATGAGTTTGTGTATCCGGCGTTTAAATTGATAGAATTGGATTTCTTCTGTTTATACTTAAGCATTACGTTTGAACTCGTACCTTTGCTATTTCCTGATGCTGATATCATACTGATGAACAATTAGCTAAGCACAACGAAAAACTGGTTTCTAGATTAATGGTGCGATTATCCTGCTCTATTGTTACTCAATTGATCAACTGTACCCCTAAATTGTGAATTATCATGCTTTCCTACTGGTGAATTTTAGTAGTTGCTGTCTAAATTGATAAAATTGGATTTCTAATATTGGTGCTGGATTGTACATGTATAACGTCTGAATTTATATCTGGACTTATTTCTTGATGCTGATCTATTGTCAATGAGCAACAAGGCTAATCACCACAAGGACTTCGCTAGCTTGTTTAGTAATGGCGTGCTCTGCCGTCCCAAGTGATTTGGATTCTTATGATTTCTAAGGACAGCGGAACTAGTAAAATATCTTAAGTGAGTCCTAGATAATTTTAATTCTCGTCATTACTAAAGACTGCGGAACTAGTGAAATATCTTAAAGAGAAACTAGGCATAACTTAAAACTGAAGAATAATCAGAATAGTATTGATAGAACCAAACAACCGTGGTCGACATTTTACAAGCCACAAATAGTGCGTAAAAAACAAAAGAAATTCAAGGCCAGCAAATGATAATCACTACTTAAGTGCTACCATAATGGTGGGTAGATACAACAATGAGGAGAGACTAGTTCAAGTGCTGGGGTTGTTGTAATAGGAGTTCCAAGTATCGAGAGCATGAGCTCGCAGAACTTGCTGGTGATAGAGAGAAGCAATCAACGCTCCGACAAAGGGTCCAACCCAAAAGATCCACTATGAAAACAGATAAGTGAAATATTATGAGACTAATTAGCTCTATTGAACTTTAAAAGACGGTTTAAATTAGAACTATCATAAGTAGTATAAACACTTACATGGTCATTCCAAGCTGTGCTATCGTTGTAAATTACAGCAGCTCCAAAACTCCTAGCAGGATTGATCCCAGTTCCAGTGATGGGAATAGTGGCCAAATGAACTATAAACACCGAAAATCCAATTGGCAATGGTGCTAGTACCTTTGGAGAAACAAAGAATGTTTTATAATTTATTACATTAATCTTGATCATTATGATTTAGACATTTAGTGCTCCTGCAGTCCTAGAAATACTACAGAGGGAGATAAATTTGTTTTTGACTGGAACTTCATAAGTTTTCAGATCCAATTCCCGATCCTTATGCATCTCTTAACCTTGTATTTTAATTTTATACGTTATGAGTGCACAAAATTTAAATATTTTCTAAATTAGGGTTGACACTTACGGGGACGTGAGAATCACGCGCTTTGCTTTTGGCGTCAGTGGCGGAGAAGACGGTATAGACAAGGACGAAAGTGCCAATGATCTCAGCACCCAAAGCTATGCCGGTTGAGTAGCCAACTGCAACGGTATTAGCACCACCGCCATACGTGTTATAGTCATGCTTCATGAACCCTTTCACAAAGCCAACGCCGCAAATGGCTCCTAAGCACTGCGCCACCATGTACGCCACTGCTCTCAGTAATGACACCTTCCTTGCCAGTAATAGCCCAAATGTTACTGCTGGGTTTATATGCCCACCTATACACATTCATTAACCCCAAAAAAAGAAATTAGAAGATTATAATGCTGTCAATGTTGGTGTTTATCATGGTTACTCTCAGTGGCGGATTTACGTTTTGAGGTATGGGTGCTGAGCACCCATTGGCTTTGGCCAAATTGTGTTATGTATTCATAGATGATACTTAAAAATTCAAATAATTGACCATGAGCATCCACGATGGTCATGTTTGACTACTGTAAATTTACATCAAAATCAGTGAAGCATCCACAATTTATAAATCTTGGATTCGCCACTGGTTACTCTATGGCTGAAGCGGGTACTGTAAGGTCTTTTTTGTGTCAAAAAATTCTTTGTTAGTAAAACAAGTTTTGGACAAAATCTGAATTGGTCTTGTGGTCTATGAACTGAATATTTGTCCGCTTGAAGTTGGAGTAGCAGAAAACCTTACAGTTTTCACCTCTACGAGTGTGAAAGTAAACTGCTGCTTTTGAGGATTAGGTATTTCAGACCATCCATAAATTTGTGTTACATTTGTCTTTACCGCTACAGGTATTGGGGGTTCCACCCTTGGGCTAACTTGCTGGAAGAAAGTGACCACTAAAAATTGACATGACAATCTGATTCAGCTAATCAACAAAAACATGAGTATTCTGAACTCAAAATGAGTTTTAAGTTATATACATCATCACCATAACAGGTAAACATTTTAAACTACTGTAATTAATCTGCTGCAATAGGTAAAGATCACTTGATAGTATAAAAAGTTCATTATATTGATGGTGTATATAACTTAAACTCTTTTGGAATTATGTGATTGGGTACTTTAATAGGTGCCTCATATTAAATTCCAAGTAAAAATAAATGGACTGAGAGAGACGGGAGGACGGACGTGGATGGTGAGGGGAAGACAAATTAAATAGGAAGGTTGTTTTTCAATCTGTGACTTGCTAACTATGGCGGAAAACCAAAAGAAGCTTCTACTTATGCAAGGCAATGGAGATTTTGACAAAAAGTATGCAAATGTTGAATCTGAACTTATTACCACATTACAAGACACCTTCTTTTAACTTTAAACCTCTAAACTTAAAATTCCGTGGTTAAAATTTGAAATACCATGTTGTTTCATGCAGTGGCAGAAACACTCTTCTACAAGAGGTGCATTCAACACCATTTCTTAAAAAATTATTCACAATTTTATATGTAAAGTAGTACTAATATTTTTGAAAGAATTATAGTATATATTTATGGAGTGTGTATATATATATATATATATAGTACTCCTACTACATTATACATTTCAATATATAATAGAGTGAAAATCTGAGATAATATAAAGTAAGCATCACTTTCGGACAAAATGTAGAGCCTTATAACCTCTATAACTCCAGAAGTTGTAATAAACTCACATATATAGAGCAAAAGAAGAGGAGGAGATGATGAAAATGAGCAGTACCAGAGATCCCAGCAGTGCAATAGACAAGAACGAAAATCATGCCGCCAAAAGCCCATGCAATACCAAGAAGTCCAACGCCATCGCAGGGACCAACTTGCTTCTTGTGGCCAATAACAGTAGCAACACTAACGTAAAGAAAAAGAAGTGTGGCAACAAATTCAGCAATGAGGGCTCTGTAGAAAGACCACTTCTTCACCTCCGCCGTATCAAACAGCGGTGCTGCTGGCTTATCTACGTAGTCTTTCGCCATATCTTGCTAGCTAGATAGCTAGTTATCCCGATCTGCTTTTAGAGAGTGATGGTGGCCTGGTATATATTGAGTAATAATCTCTTCATCCGTTTCAGTTTACGTGAATCTATTTTCTTTTTGGTCCGAGAATGACTCATTTCTAAATTTGGAAACAATTTAGCTTAAACTTTCAACTCTATCCTTAATGAGAACTTTTATAACCACATAAATACTCTGGACCCTTTTTTGACTTGTTACCAAAAATTCAAAAAGTCTTTATTTTTTTTAAAACTCCGTACCCAGTCAAACAGGTTCAAATAAATTGAAATGGAGTGAGTAAATAGCAGCCTGGCAGGGAAAACGATAGCTACAAGAGAGGTCACGCTGTGTGGTTACAAGTTAAAGGTGTGAATTGATTGATATGATGTCGCAAAAAGGCAACAACACATGCATCAACACTATGGCACCCTGACCATTTACGTAAGCTCCAAACTTTTCACTGGTACCTTCATTTGTAACAGAATAACATTGCATTTACGTCTCAAATTCCTATGTCGGGAGGAAAGCAGAAGGGGCCGACGTTGTGACTCAATCTTAAGGCCTAAGCCAATTAATAAAGCATCGCCTTTAGGCATGCAGTAAAATTAGTTCTAAAACTTTACTCCTACAACAACTACTCATGCAGTACCTAAATACTTAACTAAAGTTTTCTTTAATGACCAATTCACCTCTGAATATTAATCAGATTGACTATAGAAGATAAGCAAATTGTAAAAACAAAGTAACAAAATAAATTAGGAATAGGAGGTGCAGTTTTACATATGACTACTAAATTTTAAAAAAATAGAGTAAATTAAAAATTAAAGACATACGAAAATTTATTTGAAATATTTAAAGCCTCTTATTAAAGTTCAGTTTAAGAAATCAAATTGAGGGTAGAACGGTAATAACTTGGTCGACTGATCAATTCGAAGTGTGGACCAACGTCGATAGAAACTTTATACCTTCTTGGTTTGAGTGATTGACACTTTATACTTTCTTGATTTTAAAATTTTTGTAGTCACCTCTTGATTTTGAGATTTTGTAGTCACATGTAAATTAATTACACCTTTAACGGCCTTATGTATTTTTATAGCTCAAATTCTATTTGATGTGCATGCCTTTATAGTAATATCTAATTTTTGTTTTTACCACTCTAAATACAAGCGATAAATAATTTAATCATAACGGGCAGTCTTGTGAAACAGAAATTAACTACTACTATAAATTAAAGTCATGCACACCTTATAGAATTTAAAGCTACAAAAATACACAAGGCCGTTAAAGGTGTAAATGTACAATATACAATGTACATATGACTATTAAATCTGAAAATCAAGAAGTGGCTGTGAAATTTCTAGAAGAGTTATATAAAAGATATATATGAGTACTCCAGCTCCCCCTCCCAAATTATTTTCATTTGGAAATTATATAATATAGTTGTACACCCCATTGAAAAAGACTTTTGCGGACCAACGCCAACCCGCGAACCAGCCCGATTCTTTTCCCCAAAATTTATCTGTTGCTGCGATAAAGACTTTACAGTTGGCATCCCTCGTATATTCATTAGCGATTGTTAGGGGTGTCAATGATTCGTTACAACTGACTATTTTAAGAAATTCGTATTTTATCTATTGTTACTTTATTGTGTATAATTAAAATCAAAATTTTTAAATCGTTCTTATAATCATCTCGATTTCTTTAGTATCGAGAGTTCGGTTAATTACTATTTGAATTACTTTGCATATATACGGATGTATCTGATAGAATATGTACTGATCTCCTTCTACTCTAAATAATAGTTGTCTGGTTCCTTTCATAAGACTCATTTAAAAGTTTCACCCCCTAAAATTAGGAGTGGCAAACTGGCGGGTCGGGTCGGATATGGTTCGGATCGAAAATGAGTAATGAAAAAACGGATCAATTATCCGACCCAACCCACATTTAATACGGATAAAAAACGGGTTAACCGGCGGATAATATGGGTTATCCATATTATCCGTGACTTCTTGTATATGATCATTTTTGGGAGAATTCTTAGTCTTCCTAATTTGAGGAACCCCCAATTTGAGGTTTTACAAATGTAAAAGTTAGACCCATTGGTTATCCATTTTTTAAATGGATAATATGGTTCTTATCCATATTTGACCCGTTTTTAAAAAGTTCATGATTGTTTTTGCATACTTGCAAAAAGTAAAATAAAAGTAAAAGTAAAATTGCGATCACCTCAATCACGAAGAATGTCTTATGTTGGTTGAGTACACTTTTAATAAAAGAGCTTGTATAAATTCAATATTCAAACAAGATTTTGATTTACAGGAGAAGGTTATATTAACGTAAGTTGCGCACTTCCAACATACTCTTCACCTAAAACACATATTGTTCAGTTCGAATGAACTCAACTTACAAATCTACCCCTAAACAAAAACCAAATCTTATAGACACGAAAAAGTTTTGCTATAAAAAGATGGCTTACTATGAGCCAAAAACAGGCTTGAAAATTCGTTATATTAGGAGTAGCTTTTAATAATGTAAGACAGGACCTCTTTCAGCCAGCTCGACAAAGGAAATTATTGTACAATGGCCCCAAAGCATTGTATGTTGAAAGCGAGTGATATCCTCATATTTACAGAGGCGGATCTAGAATTTCTAGTACATGGGTGCACTACTAAAAAAAAAGAGGAAAAAATGTATCTAGTAGGATTTGATTCCTATACCTCTTGGACAATAACTCAACATTCAACCGAACCATTCAATCTTCTTGGAGCATGAGTGTCGACAGTTAATATTGTACTAATTTCAGAAAATATATACATAAAATATCTAATTTTACGAAAAGATCATGGGTTCACGTGCCCCATAATTAAGCCTATAAATCCGCCCCTTCCCATATAGGATATTTTCGTATCATTACTTAATTTTTAGATTCCGTTTACATAAGTTTAGCGAAAAAAAGGTTGCGCATTAAAACATGGTCACAGGTAGGGGTGGACATACTTTGGGCAAACCCGAAATCCAAACCGAAATCCGAATTTCTTGAATTTTTGGTTTGGATTGTCGGATTACGGATTGAATTTTGGATTTAATTTTTAAAATTTTTGGATTTCGGATTGGATATTGGATTTGGTACTTCTAATTTTTGGATATCCCAAAATCCGAAATTCTTATACTTTATATTTAGTCCATTATTCATATGTCAATAGTGATAAGTTCAATACCCTACCCATTAGATATTATCATATATATTCAATATTAATCACTAAGTTATTATGAGAATACTTTCTATTTGGACATGGTTTTACTATTTCTACTTCTTATCTGTCGTATTAACGTCTCTATTGTATCTTTTTATATAATAATTTTATTACTTTAATATTTCATTTGGATGATTGCGGTGAGAATGAAGAACTTTTCAGGAAATTTAACATGAGTACTTCATTTGGATATTCATCTTTGTAAAAAAAAGAGACATCTCAACTTATAAGCTCAAAACCGAAAATCCAAAATATCCAAACCGATAAATCCGAAACCAAACTTAAAAAATCCGATCCAATCCGAACTTATTTGGATTGGATTTGGATTATCATTTCGTCAATCCGAAAACTGAAAATCCAAACCGAAATTTCATATACAATCGGAACTGCCCGAACGCCCACCCCTAGTCACAGGATTATGATATTTTTATACTAGTCATGAAGATCCATCGTGAGTCGTGCATGCAAGACAAACTTTCTCATCCATCAGAACTTCTAATAATTTACGGGTTAATTTCACCGAAGGTCTTTAACTATCTTTCAATTTTACTAAAGTCAGTTAATTATTTTTTGTTACTTAAAAGTAATTAAACTTTATCATTGTCACTTAAAAGTTATTTTGACTCAATCCTCTACCATGAATATGACATGTAATAATATTTAAGAGAAAATTCCAAACATAAATACCACGTAACTTAAATGGACCATACCCATTTTAGATTCATTTCTCCTTTAAATGTGATTTGACTCATAACCCAAATTGATTTCAATAATTTGGTATAAAAATTATTGAAGTTCTGATGGATGAGAAAGTTTGTCTTGCATGCACGAGTCACGATGTCTTCATGACTTTGGTATAAGAATATCATAATTTGGGAACAAATTTGTCCTAAATCCCGGCTAATCACTAGAAGCTCTAATGAATGGACCTTGTCACGAGTCCTACTGAATCATCAGAAATTCTGTACAAATTATGTAAGACTTTAATACAAATTGTTTGTGCATCCTGGCGATGGACCATCAGAAGTTAGTGTGTCATTTCATTCATGGTACCCCTTGAGAAAACAGTCGAGTGAAATAATATCTCATGGTACCTGAAAATTATTGTTTAACTTCACTCAATTATTACAAAATAAAATTTGTCTAGTCACGAGTCACGAAACTTTAGTACAAATTGTATCATAACTTAATATAAATTGTTCATAAATCATGACAATAAATTTGTTAGATCATTTTCCAAGCACATTGGATGGCTGTTAGCGGAGAAGAATATTCTTAAATCTGTAAGTTACGTTGTTGATATAACGGTGAGTAAAAACAAGCCTTTTCGATGAAACAATAAATGTTCGAAAAAAGGCCAACTCAATGTTGGACCATCTCTGTGAGTCCACCAGAACAAATTGGACCATCTTTTGCTAGTTCAAATCAAGGTATTGGGAAGAGATCAGTAATCAGTAACCCTATAATGTTTGGTATGTCCATAGCGTCGCAAGTGTGGGAACTTAAATCACCACATTGGGCTATCTTGTGCATTGTAATTCTGAATTACCTATGAAAATTTTATTTTCTACTTTCTATTTGGAAATTTTTATATTGATATTTATTTGAAATATGTTTACTCTTTGGAATGTACAAAGATATAAAGTGTTGGTCGAGTAAATGAATATGTCATAAATAAGGTATATTGGCCAATTAGTCTAAAGTTTACGTTCTCCGTTTTCATTGACCATAAATGCAAGTTTTATATTTGTGATGACTGGTAATAGACCAGAAAAAAGAAA